CATTTTGTGAAGTTTGGCTTAGCTAGCACTCTGCCTTATACTCCTTAGATCCACTTAAGTAGGCACACATGAGTGGAAGCCACGTTGCGGTATGCAGAAAGCGAGTGATTGAGTAAGGACATGTGTCAGCCCCTCCTAGTTGTGTGCGTCTCATTTTCTCCCTGGGAAATTAGCACAGGAGACATGCTGAACTTTCAATTCTTTCTCTCTTTTTTAAAGACAAAAATGTAAGTTGTAAATATTTTCATTTTATCAACCCTGTAGAGGGCACTTTGGAAACCTCTAATAGAGTCTAGGGAAAGGGTGGCTATTTTACTAAGAGTGAGAAGTGTCAGAGACTCTGTGAAGTGATGTTTAAACTGCAACTTAAATGATGAGGCAAGAACAGCCATGCAAAGAAGAGTGCTTAGGCACAGTGTGCCCATCACAGAAGCAGAGGTGCTGTGAATGTCGTGGGGATAAAGACTTGCTGTAGGAATTGGACCTTACACAGACAGGGCAGGATCTCGGGAAGCGAAAGTCTAGAAGGAGAGCCAGGGAGTGGGAGGAAGAATCACTGGATAGTCAGGAATATGGGGCCAACTGGATGAACCAGAGCTTGTGAGGAAACCCGGGAAGCCTTCCCTGTCCAGCTACCCAGTTGGGGCTGCTAGGGTCTTTGGGAGTTGTTGGCTTCTGTGTACTGCCTCTGTGGGTCCACTGCCACATATCGGGTGGAGGGCTGAGGGCCATTGTTGTTCAAAAGGCCAGCAGTTGTGAAGATAAGGCGAACATGGAGGAAGGCAACAAGGAAAAGCTGGGACCCACTGGATGCTACTGTGTCTGTCAATATGTCTAATCAAAATTAAGGATCTGACCAGGCACAGGACTCACTAATGCCTGTTATCCCAGCACCTTGGGAGGCAAGCCAAGAGGATTCCTTGAGTCCAAGAGTTCGAGACCAGCCTAGGCAACATAGCAAGACCTTGTCTACCAAAAAAATCGCTGAATGTGGTGGTACATGACTGTAGCTCCAGCTACACGGGAGGCTGAGCCGGAAGGATCACCTGAGCCCAGGAGTATAAGGCTGTGGTGAGCTGTGATCGTACCACTGCACTCCAGCCTGGACAGCAGAAGAAAACTTTCTATGAAAAAATATGACAACATGCCTCATAACAACATTGATTTATTTCTAAGAGTTAAGTGGAATTCAGCTTATTTCCTAATCGTTAAGGTTAACACTATTTCAAAGAGATATTCACCTAAGATACCCAAAATGTCCTAACTCTTTTCTATCTCCTAAACTTACATATGTTCAAATATTATAAAGCCTTAAGTAGTTATGGTAGAGACCTAAATGTAGGATAAATCATCTAGGAGTCCCGGAAACTAAGGCTGGAGGCATTACGCAGTGTATGGTCTCTAAATTGAGGGTGGACTGAGAGTATCAGCCTACACACTTCAGGCACACTTGAGTGGCCAGACAGGTAGATATTTAGGCAGGTAACGGCCACCAGTGGTAGACATTAAAAACCTTTCCACAGAAGATTTTTTTTTTTTTTGTCTCTAACAAGTCCTTTAGAGGGCTTTCATGTATCTGCCTCGATTAATGTTGCACTCTGAGATGAAAGATAAAGATAAATAATGGACATATGAGACTTTACTATTAAACATGTAATAGTTGAAAGGCATGTTCAAGACCAAAAAAAATCAGAATTTGAGCTGGGCATGCCACTGCGTCTGTCAATATGTCTAAGGGGCCTAATTTTCACCTGTAATCCCAGGGACTCAGGAGGCTGATGTGGGAGGATTGCTTGAACTCAAGTGTTTGAGACCAGTGAGACCCCGTCTCTACAAAAATAGAATAAAATAAATTAACCAGGCATGTTGGTGCTCACCTGTAGTCTCAGTTACTCAGAAGGCTGAGACAGGAAGATCACCTGAACCCAGGAGTCGAAGCTGCAGTGAGCTATAATAGCACCACTGCACTCCAGCCTGGGCAACAGAGCTCTCTAAACATATATATTTTGAGACATTTTTTGATCAATGGTCTATTTATTGATATCATTATCTTTTCATAAAGAAAATATCTCAAAGTACAAGGATGCATGCCAATACTGCATTGGAATTAAGAATTATTTGCTATGAGAGTATAGATGATATATGAATGATAAATGATGATAATGTGCCTATGTATGTATTATAGTATATTTACACATAGATACTTAGTAAAAACATGTAGACTTGGTTATTAGCTATGTACTGTCTACCTGTGACAGGCATGGTAACTGGATCACAGAGGCTCAAATTATGGAATGTTTAGGTTTTTCAGGGAAGTCACATGGAAGAAACTAAGGAGTTTCATGATGAGATAAAACATTTGGGTGGGATCACCACTGAACAGCTCTTGAAATCATTAGCCGTGTGAAGGGTGATACAATGTGGAAGAGTGAGTCTAGGTTTAAAATCTGGCCAAAGACATTCTTTCCTATCCAATTCACCAAATCTCTCCTTTCAGAAGGTGCCCAGGTCCTGCAGGGGCCCACTGGGGCACGAGTCAGGCCTCCACTAACAGAATCTGCTGCTCCCTCTGGCTCTTGGTGTCTCACCGCTCCCTTTCTTCATGAGAGTTGGTGTGGCCATTGACAATCACAGTATAAACTCTGAAACAAGTATACTGACAATAAAATTCATAACTTGCTGAAAATTGTGTTTGAAAAGGATCTTAGTGACTATCTTGTTAGATCACAGGAAGCTGAGGTTTCTCAGGAGGGGTGTTCAAGGAATTTTTGTACTGGGTGGGGAAAAATTCACTGGTTGGTCTCTAATGCCCTTTCCAATATAAGATTCAATGATTCTGGGTGTCCTGTGTATTTATGAAAGCAGTCCAGAATATCCCCAAGTGTTAAACCTGTGCTTCTAACTTGTTGGAGAAGCCAAGTTCACATTCTGTCAATAATAAGACAAGGATGTTGTATCACTCCAGCCCCCGAAGCAATGATGACCAGCAGATGAGTCACAGAGGGTTCTGAGGGCCAGTATTGAGTAGCCAGGAACAGCCAGCCCACTCTGAGATGGTCTCATTGTCTTCCTACCTATAACAGCTGCAACTAAGAAATCATCCAAGTCTAGTTCCACAGCATTACCAGGCACAGGGGCAGATTCAGGGAAATAAACTGTGACCCTGGCTCTCTGGCTGGAGGGTTAGGATAAACACACAAAAATGAATTAGACAATGGTTAATTGTCTCACATGGCTCACCCATGTGGTACTGAACCCAAGTGACACAGGAGTTTAAGATAACTTGAGTGTCCAGAAAGGTTTCATTTAAGAGGCAGGACTTGAACTGAACCTTGAAGACTGGACTAAGTAAGGATGAGGGGATGAAGAGAGCATTCCTGTGGAGTGCTGGGGAAAGAAGCATTCCTGTGGGGTGCTGAGGGTTGCAAGAAGACCACTAGGATGGTTACACAGTAGAAAGGAGAGCTTTATTGAAGATACCAGTTTACAAATCAGGAAGAGACAATCTCTGGCATGTGGCGTGTGCTGAAGAGGTTTTCTCTTCAAAGAGGGGAGGATGGGTTGGGTTTTTTGCCACATGGGAGCTGTATCATACAATAGTCACATATATTTAGTCGATTTGGGGGAAAGTTATACATAGTTATGTGGGGTGCCAAGCATGTGCAATGGGTAAATATATATGTAACACACATCCCGTGTTCACTGTGGGGTGGGACTTTGGTATTAAAATGAGGTGGAATTTAGCCTTTACATCAAAAAGTGGAACTGTAGAACACAAAGACAATTTGTGTACAGCCCCTATAAGCTGCTGAAACTGGCTTAAGGTCTGCGGTTGCTTATCAGAAAAGAATGTAAGACTGCTCCTCCGTCCTCTAAATTGTAGTGGTCTGGGTTGTAAATCAGAGTTAGAAGGGGTCTGACTACTCTAGTTTAGATCTGTAGGAATTTGGAAATTTGCCATGCTATCTGGGTCCTGAACCCTTGACCCATAAGTAACTTTGTTTCCTTAAGCTTGGGGTCCCTCTTAGTTGATAGAGAAGCATCTATTTTGGTCCCTCGGATCACGTGAGAAATATACCCAGGTGAATGACAGAGCGAGACATGTGCCCTAGAGAGGAGGCAGGCATTGAACTGTGTTAAGATGGAGAGGAGCCGGCTTGAATGAAGCAACGGGGAACAATAAGAAAAAAAGTGGTCAACCTGGGCAGGCGAGAGGAGTCACATGGCTTTGAAAGTCAGAAAGAAGGCCCTGAAACTCCAGACGTGGTGATCCCCAGCAACAACTGGCATGGATCTTTCAGACACACTGTGTGTGAGGCCTGCAGGCAGAGTCAAACATAGATGCTGATGGCCACGGCAGTTTGGTGAGGTCCAGCTCATTTCCAGACAGCTTGGCTCACCCACATTCTAGCAGACCTGGGGCTTGCTGACATGTGCCTCAGAACACTCTCTGGAGGCTGCAGTGTGTGTGACCGGAAGCCTAGGGCTGCGCTCCCAGGCAGATGTAGTGTGTGGGATGTGGTTGTGTGAGCGTCTGTCCAGATGTGGGAGTCAACCAGATCATGGTCTTAAGCATGATGAAATTCAGCTGGTTGGGGTAGAAGAACAGGGACAACTATAGCCTCTAGCAATCCTTAACATAAGGAGTTTTAAAATCAACCTTCTAGCTTTAGTTATAATTTCATAATATGCTTTAAATTTTTTCTTTTTTCTTTTAAAGATGTGGGGTACAATTCAGGATTAGGTGCATAAGCGGTTATCATACAGATGAAGTTTGGGCCTCCCTTTGGTCCCCACTTCACCTGGTTTGAGATTAGGTACCCTTATTGATGTTATGTTGCCCCCACCCCCCGCAGTGTCCCACTACTGCCAATCCCTTTCTTACGCTGTTACGGTAATTTTCAGGGTCTGCTGTAAGTGAGAACCTATGGTACTTGGTTTTTTGTTTCTGTGATAGATTACTGGGTATTATAAACTCTAAATCCCTCCAGGTTACTGCATAAATTTTCTAGCCAAATTAGCAAGCCTTTGTATTAGATGCCATCCCCATTTGAAATAATTTCATTATAATGAAAAGAAAACATTTTGAACACAAAATACTTGTTGGTTAAGTGGTCTCTTATGTTGTCTTTTTTTGACGAGGATGTTGAGGTTTTTTAGCTTTTGGAACTTTCTTGGTTTTTTGACGTCTTTTCCCTTTCTTTTGCTTTTTCTTTTGGCTGACCTGTGAGGAGAGGAAGGAAAATGGCAGTGTTTCTGAGTCTTTCTGTTTTTCCTTCCTGATGTTATGTTTGGACTCTCCTGACTGGTTCATCCTCAAAGCTTGGAAGCTGCTTTGCCCCCAGAGGGTCTCCCCGTGGTTCTCTCAGCTTGCCCGCCTTCAGGAGGAGGCCTTCTAGTTGGCTATCCTTTGTCTGTTCTGGCTTACTACCTTCGCCCCAATCTCGCTTACAATACACTTGTCCCAGCTTCAGCCTTCTGAGCTTGCCACTGCCATCCATGTTCTACATATGAGGAGGCTGAGGCCAGGAGAGAGTGACTTGCCCTCAGCTGGACAGCCAGCACAAGCAGAACCACTGGTCTGGCAGACTCCAGAGCCCGAACTCCCAACCGCGTGTTCCGTGGGCCTCTTCAAACCCGAGCCCTGGCATGTCACGCAGGATGTGTCTCCCTTCGCCCTGGGCTGCTTTTCTGCCTCAGTCCTCCACTCCCTTCACACACGCTTCAGCACATTACCGGAGGCTCCCTGAACCCGGCACGTTCTCTCATGGCTCTACTCTTGCTCATGAATTACTTATCCTTCAAGACCCAAACCAAATATCATCCAACACACTAATTCTTCCTTAACACTTTCTCCCGCCCCTCCCCCAGAAAAGTTAAGTATTCCTGCCTCTATAATCTTCAAGATTCTCGTGCCTACTTTTATTTTACATTTCTCACACTGTATCATAATTATTCGTGTGTTTGCTACAACAGGGAGGGACTGTCTCATACTATCTTTGTATGCTCTATGTCTACCATTCATTCATTACATACTTATTGTATTAAATATGAAAGACAAGCTCCCTATCCCTATGGAACACACATATCCTCTGTATGGAGGAATATAATTTTGCTCTAGGAACAAAATAGAAGCACAATAATATAAATGAAAAAAATGTATCCTTAAAGGAACTATGCAGATTATTTGTCTTCTGAAGTTAACTTCTAAAAGAAAAGCAGTTTTATTCCTCCTTTTTACTAACCTGTTTCTCCCACTCTTTCATCAGTTTCTTCACATTGGTTGAATCTGGGTTTAGACATATTTGATCTCCATTCTTCATTGTGGCACTGCCGAGGAAATAGCAATGAGATATTTTTTCCCCTATTAATAATTTGAATTATTTTTTTTCCCAGATGCAGTGAAAATAAGAATGAACTTTGATGAATTTTCTAATGTAGCTACTTCCAATAAAATGCTTTCTTAGAACAAAATGAATGGACTGGATGAATTTTTAAAATGACTTACAGCAGACCCTCCAGGGATAATTTATTTTATTTATTATTATCATTTTTTGAGTAAGAGTCTCACTCTGTTGCCCAGGCATGCAGTGGTACGCTCACGGCCAACATAGCCTCAACCTGCTGAGCTCAGGCCATCTTTCCGCCTCAGCCTTCCAAGTAGCTGGAACCACAGGCATGCACCACATGCCTGGCTAATTTTTGATTTATTGTAGAGATGAGGTCTCGCCATGTTGCCCAGGCTGACCTCGAACCCGTGGGGTCAGGAAATCCTCTTGCCTCTGCCTCCCAAAGTGCTGGCATGATGGGCGTGAGCCACCATGCCTGGCTCAGGGATAATTTATTTCTTTAGCTTCTCTGTATAGCCAGTCTGAGAATAAGAGTAGCCATCTATAAAACATCCTTGATTTAGGTATTCAAAGACTTAAAGTATGCATATCCTTCAGCCTAGCAATTCTAATCTCTAGAAAGGTATAAATAGAAAGAATTAAAGACACAGTACTGTAAATAACAGTTTGATTTCAATAGCAAAAATTTGGAATTAACTTACATTTCCAAAAATAGGTATTGGTCATGTAAACTGTGGCTTATCCATATGATGAAATACAATTTGACCATTAACAATGACATTAGAAAAAAAGTGGCATTATTAGAGAAGATTTACTGACATGAGAAAATGTTCATGATATAGTGTTAACAAAAACGGTATATAAATTACAAAACAGTATATAGCATATGATTTTATCTTTGTGCATATATATTATTTATACAATAAACATATATGTTCTCTAATAAACATGCGTTACTTCAGTAATATATCATCCTTGGTTCCTAATCTTTTAGAACTTTTCAGAAAGTGCTTCTTTTTTTTTTTTTTTTTTTGAGTTGGAGTCTCACTCGTCACCCAGGCTGGAGTGCAGTGGCATGCTCATGGCCACTGCAGCCTTGACCTGCTGGGCTTAGGCGATCCTTCTGCCTTGACCTTCCAAGAAGCTCTTCTTTTTTTAGGAGAGAAAAAAAGGGAACAGCCCAAATTTATGGAGGGGCTAAATCATTTGAATTTTAAGTGTTTGCATTGGCAAATGTTCTAAGGATAAATAAAATTCACACTAAATTTAATGTCCTTGCCAACATGGTGCATGTGTGTTAGAAGGGTTTTTACTTACATGATTTCAGTTTTCTCACAGGAAGGGCTTGGGGTAAACTGTTTAAGGTCTTTCAAGGATCTTGTGGAGATGGTTCCTGGGCTAGTGTTGATGCAGGAGCAACGTCCATTCCTCATTACTGGGGTTCCTAAGGGAAAGAAAAAGGGTAGAACACATAGGTATAGGACAGTGTCTCAATATAGGTGATCTATCAAAATTACCCATTTGACTTCATAATGATTATTGCTGTCATTTACTGAGTGCCTGTAAATGATCACCACAAACTCTGGTAGTAGGTATCACCTTCATTTTATAGATGAGAAAACTAAGGTGCAGAGAGGCTTAGTAAAAAACAAAGTCATACAGCTTCTAGAGGGCAGGGTGAGGGTTTCAGCTCAGGACTCTGAGTCTAAATGCATTGCTTTTAACTATCACTCCCTATAACTTTAGAAAAAAAAAGAGACTCATAATGTTTAGTACATGCCTATTACAGGCCAGATAAACAAATATCTAATCCATATGTGCTATGCTGATCATAGTTTCTTTCTCTTTTTTTTTTTTTGAGTCAGAGTCTCACTCTGTCACCCAGGCTGGAGTGCAATGGCATGCTCATGGCCACTGCAGCCTCTACCAGCTGGGCTCAGGTGAGCTGGAACCACAGGTGCACGCCAGCACACCTGGCTCATTTTTATTTATTTATTGCAGAGATGAGGCCTGGCCATGTTGTCCAGGCTGGTCTTGAACCCCTGGGCTCAGGCAATCCTCTCCCAAAGTGCTGGGCTTGTAGGTATGAGCCACCATGCCCGGACCCCCACAGTTTCTTAAGTAACTCCTGATGCATTTATTATCTTACCTTAGGGAATGGAATTGGTGCTGGTGTTGGACAGAAAGCACTACTTTAATAACCAGTCACCACTTCCATCCTAATTTTCCCTCCTCCTTGTTTTTCAACAGTGTTTTGAAAGCCCTTTAAAATTATCTCCATACCTTACCTCTTAGATTCATTCAACGTATATTTACTCAGTACTTCCTACATGACATACATTTTGTAGTAGATAGAAGGCACATAACTACAAAGTTTTCATTTTACAGATGAAGAAACTGAGGTCTGGAAAGGTTACTTAATTTGCCCAAGGCAACAAAGTTAGTTAGTAAACAGATTAGAAACAACCTCTCTGATTATTGACTAGATCCTTAATTGGTTAACCACAGGTACACTCATCAAAAAACAATATCAGGGAGAAGAACATAATTTAGGAGGCAGAGTGTTTCATCTCATTACCACCCAGTTTAATAAACATTTACTGAACACTTACTAGGAAATCACACACCTATGTTACAAAGTCCTGTGTTTGACTTGGCAGACCCAAGTGAAGAACTTTGGATAATCGACCATATCACGGAGATGCTTTTAGGAGTGACCAATATTACTTTCCAATGTATGTAGAATATTCACTTTACTTGGTGAATGAATCAAGAGGCTTTAACAGCGAGTCACTTCTCTGGCTTTACTAACCTAATATACAACTTAGAGCCCCTTACCTTGAATTCCATTCAGAGCCGGGAAGATGACACCCAAGAGGAAAAGAACACCACTTTTCTTCATAGTGGTAGAATGGATTTCCATTAAGTCACTCCTGTATTGGATTTCGAGCCTGAGAAGTTTTTTAGAGAACACTTTTGGGATTCATATTTATTTAGGAAGTCCATTTCCCTCCTAAACACTGATTGGCTGGCATCTTTAGTTGAGTTAGCTAAACTGACCACAGTCTTGATTGTACTGGGGGAAACCCTACTCTCAGATCCAAGGGAATTTCTGCGTGTTTTAATTCCATTTCACATAAATGGGTAGTTTATAGTAAGGGATGTGAAACCAACAACACTGGTAGCCTGTAGCAGACTCATACTTGCTCACCTGGGTGAAGAATAGGTTATATAGTGCATCTACTAGTGCCAGACGACAAGGATTGGAGATGTGGTTTCCAGAAGAGTAATACACTTGTCGATTTCCCTTATTGTTTATGGCACATCCTTCTGTATAATACATGGCAACATTGATCCTATATTGCCCGCACACAACTTGAGGCACCTTAATTTGTTCTGGGACTAGGTCATTTTCCACTAGTGGTAAGCTAATTTTGTGTCATTGCTGCTACAGTTTTTTATTTTCTAAACTGTTAGATTAGTTAGAATAAGGGATCAGTTGCATGTTAATTAACAGTGGCTAACTAAGATAGAAGCTTACTTCTCCCTGATGCAGGTAGATGGACCAGCATATGTGTGGTGGTTCTTTTCATGAAGTCTTTCAGGCTCTTCCTATCTGTTGCTTTGTCACCATCTCTAGGTTGCTGCCCTCATGCACATGGCCAAAGGTGCCTTGCCACAATGTCTAATTTCCAAGTAAAGGATGGTGAGAAGGCAGAAAAAGGGCATGCCCTTCTTTTTTAGATCCAACCTAGAAGTGCACTCATCATTTTCATCACCTCCCAACGGGGCAGACCTTAGTCACATGGCCACATCTATCTGCAGGGGAAGGTAAGAAATGTGATCTTTACTCTGGTTGACCAGCTAAAGATTGGAGATTCCATTACTGTAAAACAATGTTTCTCAACTTTTTTTTTTTCATTGTGGACTATTTCCACCCCCACTCCAAGAAAAAATATATTTAGATTAACTGAAGGCCAGGTGCAGTGGCTCATGCCTATAATCCCAACACTTTGGGAGGCTGAGGAGAGTTGCTTGAGGCCAGGAGTTTGAGCCCAGCCTGGGCAACATAGTGAGACCTCGTCTCTACAAAAAAAAAAAAAGAAAAAAAAACTCACAAAAATTAGCTGGGCATGGTGGTGTGCTCCTGTAGTCCCAGCTACTCAGGAGGCTGAGGCAAAAGGATCCCCTGAACCCAGGAGGTCAAGGCTGCAATGAGCCATGGTCATGCTACTGCACTCTAGCCTGGAGGACAAAGTGACCATGACTCATGAATAAATAAATAAATAAATAAGCAAGCAAACTGAAATCTAAATTCAGTTTAATTTCTAAATTCAGTTTAATAAAAAACTATTATCTCCCTAAGAGAGAAATGAAATACTGAACATAAGATTTTGTTGGGTAGGGTTGAACATTGGTGGACCACAAGTCATTCATTGTCATTTCTGAGTTTTTTTTAAAAAAATTCTCCAAGAACCAATTTTCATCCCCCTTGGGGACAATACTGCACCCTCCATCCACTGAGAATGCATGCTGTAGAATAGCTGGAGAACAGATATTGGCATTTTATGTCGCATGATGCACCTTTTCTTATTGGTTTCTACATGATTTATTAATGCCTAAGTAAAACAGTACAGAATTCTTTTTGAAGAAAACATGCAGTGACCTTTGCCACCATACAAGTGTTGGTCCATTTACCTCTGTCAGGGAGAAATAAGCTTCTATCTCAGCTACTGATAATCTGAGTCTGTTACGTGCAACTAATTTAACAATTAAAAAAAGTAATAAGCTGTAGCAGCCCTGACACAAAGTGAGCTTCCCACTAGTGGAAAATAACCTGGTTCCAGAAGAAATCAGGGTGCTTTAAATTATTAGGTAAGTAATATAAGAAGAGATCAATGACGGTGCCCGTGCATGGGTTGGGGCCAGGCTCAGGTTCCAACCTTCCTGCTTAACGACCCTGTGCACACAACTTAATTTCTTTGAGCCTCCCCTTCCTCGTTTGAGAAAACTATCACCGAGAGCGCAGGTTGTCAAGATGAATGGTAACTTACACAAGGTCAACTGCAAAGCCCCACAGAAGTAGTAGCGATGCTTCCAGCAAAGAAAGGCGGATGGAAACGTTTCAGGATAAAAACCGAGTCCCGGCACGGTCCGCCTGGCCCACCTTTCCAGCCTCTTCTTGCAGCCTCCGCTCCCATCGCCTCCTCTTCTCCGGGGTCTTCAGGGGGATAAAACTCCTTCCCTCCACGCTGCTTTTGCTCAGGCGGGTTTCCATGCCTGGCACCGCCCCGCATCCCTCCCTCCCGCCCAGTACGCCTCCTCGCCCGCCTCATCCTGGTAAACTTCCTTCCCCGGGAGACCTCCCTGAGCCTCGGGGCTGTCCCAGCACCGCGGGCCTCTCCTAGCTGAGCCCGTGATGTCCATGATGCCCATGGCGATCGCGTGGTCGCATGAGGATCTCCCTCCCCCACCAGGCAAGGAGGCCCCGAGCCCGGGGCTGAGCACAGGACCCGGCTCGCGGCGAGCGCTCTGTGCACACGAGCCAGGTTTGGCGGTTGGCTGGGGCCTGCGCCGCGCGCTCACTGCACACGCCTGGCCGGGTTTCCAGAACCTTCTGCGCGTGGTGGTTATAGCCGGAGTGGGCACCGCTCGGCCGGTCCGACCGGAGGGGAGCAGAGAGGTAGTGGGTGTGCCTGGGGTCTCTTTCCTCTGTCCTCAGCAAGACCCCACTCCGGGGTGCGGAGGCGGAGGCCGGGAGGAGGGGAGGCCGGCTGGTGGAGGCCGGCTCTGCAGGCTCCGCATGAGGCTGGGGGGAAGCCAGCAGGACGATGCCTGCGCGAGGGCCGGGTCCCCGGGTCCCTGGGCCGAGGGTATCCCCGGGCTTCGGTGACAGGACAGAGGCCCGTTGGACGAGGGAAGGGAGGCGCAGGGTCAGTGTGGGAATCGCTTGAGGCCACATCCTGCTCGCCACCCCGGGGGGCAGGTGGTGTGGCCTCTCCGGGCAGTGGCACAGCCCCCGTGTCTCCATGTCCCCGCGTCAAGGGCCCCGAGCAGGTCTGGCCTGGGGACCCGAGACCTACTCAGCTCAGGCCGGTGCGGACGCGTGTGTGTGGTCCTCGATGGGAAGAGGTCAGGTCGACGGGGGGGGGGGGGGGGGGCGCCCTGGGACTGGCAGGAGGTGGAGGAAATCCCATGGCATCCCGTTTACTGCCAGACAAGGCTTTTAGGGGAAGCAGAAGCCCGGCTAAGGGCGTCACTGGTGCCTCCCACGGTCCTGGGAGAGGAGCCAAGGACAGTTAGGCTGTTGGACCAGGGGCTTTCCCCTCCTGTGCCTGAGACTGTCCGGCCCTGTGTCCCCAGGGAGCCACATGCTGATGGGGCCCCGGGAGCCTCCAGAGCAGGGGTCTCGGGTCCCCCGTCCGCCTCTCGTGTCGTGGAATGCGTGTGTCCTGTTGGGTCCCGTGCCCGGTGTGACTGGCTCTGTGGCGTGAAGATGAGCATCTTCCCCTTCATCTGCGAGAGGGGAAGTTCCTCTCACAGTGAAACCCCACGCCTGTTTGAGTTCCCAGTGTGGACTTCCCCTCCGCCCAGAAGCTGTTGCTGGTGTCACAGAAGGCCGATGAGAAGGGTTTATTTATTTCTTGCAAGTCTCAGAGGCCCCAACTTAGCACTCTGATGTTTCTTTTTCCCTTCTCTTCCCCAGTGTGGGAATCATTCCTTCCTTCCAAGGTTTAACGTGGCGAGTTACCTGCAGGCCCCTCCTCGCTAGGGGGGTTAGCATCCCGCCCACCTCCAAGGTCTCTAAGAAAGGGGCATGCTCTTCCCTGGCTGATCTCAATCTCACTGGCCTCCTGGTTTGTGTTTCTCATGTCAAGCATAAGGACTAGGGGACAGGTGTGAGTACACTATTTTGAGAGAGGATGTCAGGACATCCCTTCGAGGTCAGCTGTGGCTGAGCGTTGGCAGCAGCACCACGTTTTTGCTCCATGACTTTAGACAGTCAGCTTGCCTAAATGAGGGCATGTAGCAAGAGTCATTAAGAAGCTGCTGACCCGAAGAGAACTTATCCTGAAAAGAAAATATTTTTATATTTCAAATATTTATATTTATTTAAAATGAATTACTTTAAAATGGCTTTAGTAATTTTTTACAAGAAGAAAAGTTCATTCTTAAAAACCTTCATTTGCTGCTTTTTCATTCATTTGATTTCATTCATCAGACTTTAATTATTGTGATTCTAGGCTCCAAAGACACAATTATGAACAATAATTTATGTTCTCAAAGAGCTCACAGTTTTGTGGGGGGGAAGTGGCAAATTAAAACAGTAAATCAACAATTATTATACAAGAAAGGATATGATAAAGGAGAGTGCAAGAGTGGGAGGTGCAGAGAAGTACAGAACCCTGGATGATGGGTCAAACACAACTGTTAGAACCAAGTTGGAATGGGAGAATTGGTTGGAATTTTTCTTACTAGAAGTAATTGGGGGAAAGGTGTTCTGAGCAGGAGGCATGAGACGGCATGCTAGATTTCAAACACTTCAAGTACTTGGCAAGGATGGAGAATAGAGTGGACAGTGAGGGATCGGTGAGAAATCAGGGTAGAAATGCGGCAGGAACAAGAGGATAAGTTACAGGGTAGATCTCGAAGTGGGGAGGAGACATGGAAAGATTTTAACCAAGAACACTTCTCGATGATGAGATTTATATTCGCACACTCACACATGTGAGTAAATACATCTGGCCCTTTTCACCAGACAACCTTTAAATTAGTCTTATTTTATTTCAGATGTGGCTCATGCCCATAATCTCAGCATTTCTGAGGTGGAAGGACCCCTTGAGCCCAGGAACTCAGGGTTGCAGTGAGCCATGATCATACTACTGCACTCCAGGCTTTGTGACAGCAAAACTCCATCTCTTAAAAAAAAGCTTATTTTACATAAACATTTCCCTATATCTGCATCAGTTAT